CCCAATAGGCAAGGAACCGCCAGGGAAGATGAAACGAAAACGGGTCCCGACAATTTGATATCACCAATGCAAATGGACGCCCTAATCTGACCGATAATGCCCAACGATCCCCCGTTAGCGGCGTAAAATGGCACATCCACCGGAAGAAGCGGACGACATTGTACCGGGAGAATATTATAAATGAGATCCGAAATAATAGTCGCCGATGCCCCCGTGTCCACTAACACCCTGACCTCGACCCCATCAATCGATCCGGTAACGACGGATGAACCCGCTGAGGCAGCCACTATTCTGTGCCCCAATTCCGACCATTTAATGTCTCCCCGGTCCCGGCCGAACCCCCCTCTCCGAACCGAATCCCCGAACTCTACTCGGCTCTCCCTCGTCGCAACGCGACGACCCATACGTGTCGAGTATGCGGGCCAAGCATGTGAGGTGCCGCGACTTGCCGGGGTTTGCAGTGATGACTTGGGGCCTTGGTCGTCGTCCAGCCGAGGTCCCATGGCGCGCTGACGTGGGGCGCGGCAACCGGAGGCCACGTGGCCACGAAGGCCGCAGTTATAGCAGGTGATGACCGTAGTCGGAGATCTCGGTTGCTCCAGCTTGCGGGCCGCTCGCAGAGGCGAACGACCCCCCGACCTCCAGTCCCCCGCTCGTCCCGCGATGAACGCGTCCTCTCGTGGGCTGACGACTTGGGGCACGGTGTCAACCGGACCCGGAGTTGAGGCCACGGCAGCGTTGCAGACGACCCCCTGCTTTCGTTGAAGGACCTCGTGCGCTTGCATGCTCGTGGCGACCCGTAATGAAGAAATATCGGTCTCGTCGGCCGTGTTGATGGGGACCCCCAGGTCCTGCGCCAACTTGAGCAGCTGCTCCAAAACCATCGCATCTTGGCCCTCCTCGTCCATACGAGGGAACGCGGCGTCAGCGAGAGCGAGCAACGCCGTGCGGTAGGCGAGCACGGTCTCCGTGTCCGCCTTCCGTCTTGCGTAGAAATGATGGCGGCACGCCGAGGGAGGACCGTAGACTTTTGCCATGAGAGCCAGCGCATCCTTGAACGTGGAGCGGTCCGACCTGCGTGCGGATGTGAAGGCCGCGAGCGCGTTGTCGTCCAGCATGGCAGGCAGTGCCCGCAGTGCCGTAGCGTCGGACCAGGCGGACATCTCTTGATGCGCCAAAAATCTGCGCTGAAATTGGCTCCAATCCCCGCCTTCCGCCTTGAATGCTGACAACGTGGGAAGGCGCTGCTGAAAGATAAAGTCGTCCTCCTCCTCGTGCTTCCTCTCTGCCCCCCCGTCGGTGTGTAAGATGGCGGCCCCAGTGGCGGGTGTGTGATGGCGGTCCGCCGCGCGCGTTGGTGACGTCAGCGGCCGCGCATGGAGAACCGCTGCCACGTGGTGATGGCCGTTCCCGCCAAAAGTTGGAGCGGATGAAATGGCGGGAATCGCCAAATCGTTTTGGCGGGAATCTGCAGGGCGACCCTGTAGCACGTCGGCCGCCGTCCCCGCTCCTCCCGACGAGCTGATCTCCGCCAAGATGGACGCGGCGGCGAGCAGCAGCTCCGCCAGACGGGAGTGTGCCTCGCGAAGCACGGTGTCAGTCCCCCGTCGCTCGTCCGGCGCCGTCGGTGGATCCTGCCCCGTGGGCAGCTCCTCTTCCTCACCCCCTGATGGCCGCTGGCCCGCGTCGTCGAGGTTGTCCTCGTGGTCAATCCCGTGGGTCCGACGGTTCCTCCTTGTATCCATGCTCGGAGGACCGTTTCCCTTCTGACACCAGTTGAAGTATTGGAATTGACGGCAGGAACTTCTTGACGGGTAACACACTTTTATTAAATCCTTTAGGTATCACAATACAACGTGTGGTCTTCCTTCTTCCGACGACACACTCCACTAATCTCGTGTAAGCTCTAGGCCTCTGGCTACACCCGATACACTTGACTCGTGTAGACCCTATGCCTCTGGCTACACACAATATACTCGACTCGTGTAAGCCCTATGCCTCTGGCTACACAATACACTCGACTCGTGTAAGCCCTATGCCCTGGCTACACACAGTACATTCGGCTCGTGTAGACCTATGGCTACACACACTACACTCGCCTCTGGGTTACACAGAGTCCCGGTCCCCTTAGGACAGCGGGGCTAGGTACCGCAGGGCTCTAGGTCTTCATCCCCGTCTTCATTCTTCGCTGGTTACACACTGCCCTTACGCCTGTGTGCATCCCCTTTTATAGCCCCTGCTCACAAGAGACGGAGCTGATGCGGCGTCGACGTGAGCGTCGTTCCTTAATGAACCAATCACGACGCACTCTCTCTACGATCCGCTTTCCCCAGCGCGTGTTAACATTACTCCACCAATCACACTGCGCTGGCACCTGATCACTCCCTCTCAGCGCGTCACCCGCCCACAGCCAATCGGTACCCCGTAACCCACGACCCCGCGCTGACCCCTGATCCTCCACCGTCAGCGCGCGTCACCACCTACACAGCCAATCATCCCGCACTGTGCATACGATCCTTAATCCCAGCGCGTATCACCTCTACATCGGCTTAAGAAACAATAGCACGTAATCAATAAATCTTTGTATTTTTCCAACCCTCATAAATACTTTGTAAAAATAACCACTTAAATAAACGTGGTGACTATGATCACAGTATTGAATAACCCTCTTTCTGAAGCAAGCCTAGTTCCAGGAACGTCAAGGTGTGATCATCCTTCACGTAGACGAGAAGTCTGGTGAAAGTGGGCAGCAGCTTATGGAAAAGAGTAATTGCAAGAAGTGATGCTGGAGTATAATGTGATGGATGTAGGTATTTAAAAAAAAACGATGCTACCATCAAGTCGCTTGCCTATAATACTAATCCTAACCACTATCCCTACTGCTCAAGCCTGGGAATAGTTGTTACATTTACTGGTTTACACTGCAACTTCGGCTCAAATCATCCATCATTTCAGCTACACCAAGGAATACAGCCCAGCTCTTTCAGAAGCCCCCCGTTGTGGGATTGCAAGCTGTGCAACTGCTCGCCATGATTAGCCCTGGGCCGAACTCAGACACTAGTGAGCCTTGTTCACCGTGATGTGGTTTAACCAGCTGTCTGTTGGAGGAGGCAGATCCCCATGGGATTATAGGGCTCGGAGAGGTGAGTGGGGTGGGGGGTCACATGGGATTGGTGCACAGCTGTGACGTATAGATTAATAGAGAATCTCAATGTACAGGCATACCACCTATAGCGCTCAGGATGCATTCTTGGGAATCGGAGTACTATATAGGAAACAGCGCTATACGAGGTCATTATAACATGGTTCCAATGGAAATGCGTTCCCGACAGCTACATTTTACCTATGAGCGATATATGAGGGCTTCATTGGGGTATCAATAATAGCCATAATAATGATACTGTACACATGATATATGTGTAGAGGAGTAGTGGGTGACGTCACGTCACGCTCGCCTCCGAGGGAGTGGCGTCGCAGGGAGTGACGTCAGGCGGACCTTGGGGGACGGTGACGTCATGTCCCACGGTGGTATTTAAGAGGAGTCCCGTGACGTAAGCGGGGTCGTCGGGAGAGCCGGGAAGGAGAGTGAAAGTTGGGTAACAGAAGCTAACACGAGGCTAAGGGTGGCTGCTTCAACCCAGCCGGCCGAAGTTGGTTTACCCCTCGGCCGGTGCAGTGGGAAGAGCCCGAGACATGCCGGGATGGTAGGTTTCCCAGTACCCTACCCCCAGGGAGTTATAGGCTAGTGGAGTCCCTTGTTAGGCATAAGCCCGTAACAACTGTTAGGCGTGAGCCAGTCGTAAACTGCACTGCAACATATGTATGAAAGAATTTTATAAATAAAAACTATTTATTTTATTGATGACATAAAAATACAAAAAGTTATGTACTGAGGAGTGCATTCAGTCAGAGCTTGTGTAAGATTAACCACCGTCTGTTAAAAACACATGTTCCGCGGGAAGATATACAGTACAAAAAAATGGGATCCATCGATCGCCAATGCATTTATGCAGTAATTAACCCTCGATGAATCAATACACTAACGTGGCTGTTGGATCGACTTTGAGCAGAATCTAAACAATTGACACCTCGATTCAGGTCCCACAAGACCACATGGTTAAAACAAGCCCCTACAGGGAAATGCCGCACCTGCTCTCTTCCATATAAGGATTGATCCGCACAGGGATTTTACTCCAGGACAAAGAGCGTTATAACGAAACAGCGTCATATGCATGCAGTGAGTGCTAACTGAAAAGGGTGTGATGGAGATATGCATAATTGGAATTACATTGAGACACAGAAAGAGGAACACACGGATTAGAGGACATGCAACAGTTGGTCTGGGATTCCACACAACTCCGTGCTTGTTTGTTTATAAGTACATTGTCTCTCCTCCGTCCGCTATGGGCAGGAATTAGACACAACTCTCTCCTTGTTCTCTACCCCAACCCCCCCTCTCTCTCTGCCCCCCCCCCCATCTCTCTATTTAAGGCCTCGACACAGAGGCATTGTCTCTGTCTGTCTATGTTGTGTCTCTCTTTGTGCGTCTCTGTGTGTGTCTCTATCTGCTTGTGTGTATGTCTGTGTCTCCGTGTCTGTGTTTGGTCTCTCTCTCAAATTTAGCAATCTTTGGAAGAACGTAATCAACCAGGTAGGGTGTTGACTGTTGTGTTAGCCGACTTTCTGTGTTGTATTGCATTATGTTTTTAAGTTTACTATGTTTGTTTTCTCATTCATTCTTACCTGATGATGATTGCTTGTGTTGCAATCGAAACGTCGTATTCTATTATTATTTTAGAGTCGGGATCACCCCCACGACCTCCCGTATAAGAGTCAGTTAACATCTCGCCACAGTAGGTTAATAGCCAAAGGACAACCTTAGAGGAAGCTCAAGGGTTGTATTGAGTTATATTATTATTCTAAAACGTACTAATTTAATAATAAAACATACAACATGATGGTGGGACAAAAGGCGAGGTGTTTGGAGGTGCTCTCTGTACCTGTGTTGGTGCAGCGACTTGCGGTCCAGCTCCCAGGCGAGCTCGGTGGCAAACTCGGGCTGCTCTAAGTGCTCAACGGGGTCTGTGAAGAGGCTCTCGCCATCGAACCTGGCCTCCACCACGAGCTGGTGCCGCAGACGCTTGGGAAAACGGCGCCCTTGGATGGGGCAGGGCAGGGAAGAGAAGAAGGGCATGGGCAGGGCAGAGGCAGGGAGAAGAGCAACGGTGGGTTATGGTAGAGGGCCCAGCACGGTTGGCTACTGTATGGTGCGAAAACACATTCCTGCGGAGGGAGCTGGTAGGAACGTTGGGTTGCTCGGTCAATGGCCAGGGTCAACGGCGGTGTGGTGTATTCCGCAAATATGCCCAACTGTGAGGGCGGGCACAAGCCGGCGTGAGTAGGTTAAACGTTGAGTTTTATAAGGGCACCACGGGGTGACCAGCCCCTCCCCACCCAGCCCCACCCCTCCCACCCCCCACCCAGCCCCTCCCCACCCAGCCCCTCCCCACCCTCCCCACCCAGACCCTCCCCACCCAGCCCCTCCCCACCCAGCCCCTCCCCACCCTCCCCACCCAGCCCCTCCCCACCCAGCACGACGGACGGACACAATAATCCTCTGTGGGCTGGTGTAACCACCAGGAGCTTCCAACCAGTATAAGTTATATATACAGTACACAGCAGACGTGCATCACTCATTGAGATCCGATTCAGCATCAATAAGCATTGCATGTATTTGCTTAAAACAAATTCAGTTTCCTTCCTTGAACAAATTATGCCAAGTCAAATTGTTCTGTGATATCAGTAGGCGGATGAACTAAAACATATCTGTATTTATGTGTGGCATGAGAACATAGCTGTGCTTGTATACGGTTTCTCTGTGGGTCACTTTTTAAAGTTTCCAAATCGTAGTTATCGTGTAGACTGTATAGGTTGGTCACTATTGTTATTTACAGCACTCTACAGCATATGCAATGCATTGTTCTGGACTTTTTCAATCCACCACTGAACGAAGGGCTCCCCACGTATTTCATCCATACTTCACGCCGGTGAGAGCATGCTGGTGAAGGGTTATGTATTTGGTTTTCGCAACGAATATCATCAATAATTCGGGGTTTTCTCGGGGTAATATCGCGTAAATATAAATGTGTCGTTAAACCCGCCACCACCCGACACAGCCAATTAGTAAGGTTTGTCACGTAAACAGAACATGCCAATTCGTCACTAGTACAGCACTAACCGGTGTGTTGGAGAGCCAAGCCACAACATTTACAAACTGAGGACGACGTTTCGCCAGTAATTACAACTAGCTTCATCAGGCGACAGCCAGATTTGTGGAGAAGTCTTACCGTTTCGTTCCTTAACGACACATTTATATATTTACGCGATCTAACCCAAAAACCTCTATTATGGATGATATTTTTCGCGAAAGCCTACGTGTTACACTGTACTGTACGTGTAAAATCGTCCCGTATACAATACAACCATTTATACTTTGTGGTTGGTACCGTGGTCGCTATTCATGGCTTTAAATAAGAACGTTATGCATTAAGACCGCATTGCTCAACTAAATACTGTAACCGGTCTCTTAAAAAGCATCGTCATTTAAAGGAAACCGTTATATATTTGTGTTTTATAGATACACTCAACTCTATAACATCGTAATTTTACACTTATTGTGTCAATTTGATGAGCTATATTTATTAGCAGGTAAGAGCCCAATGATACCAAAAGTTATGTATCTTATTCCAGGGAGCCCTGGGCTTAAATAAGCACCGCACATCAAAGTCCGTGTACTGTATAAACAAACTTTCAAAGACTACTTTTTAAACTCTAGATTTGAAGCTTTCGTGACTGCAAGAATTCATACTCTTTGTTTTTTTCGGTAAAGTCACGTTTTCATTTAATTACAATTTTTACATACGTGACTTTACCGAAAAAACAAAAGGTACTTTTTAAACGTTTCATCACCATTACAATTAACGTCACACACAGAATAAGATTTTTCAAAAGCATTTAACAAAACACTATGTACAGTATGCGTTCAATATCTTTAAACAATTAAACCAGCATACGGACCAAAACAGTATTCGTATATCCGTTCACATAACATTTAAAATGTAAGTTCAGCATGTAACATTACATTGTATACAATTTACACGTAACAGTTGAACTGAATGTTCAACTAAGAATGCACGTTTAACTTCTTTCGCACCGTACGTAGCCAACCGCGCTAATCGGAGGTGCGGCATGGAGAAGAGAGGACAGGGAGCGTCACTAAACACACACACACGAGGACATCATCCACCTTCCAAGATGGACAGGACGATGAGCAGCTGGTCAGGTCTGGAGGAGCTCATGTCGCTTGAGACCTGTCAACATAAAAGTGGAGTTGAGAGGTGTATGTATGTACGTATGTATGCGTGTGTTGAACTTCTTTCACACCGTACGCAGCCAACCGTGACAATCGGTTGTCTAAGGTGGAGGCAATGAAGAGGACGGAGTGAGGAAATCGAGTGTGAAGAGATCGAGGCAGAATGAGGAGAAAGGAAAAAAACTATTTGGATTTTTAAAAAAAGCAGCGATGGGCTAAAATAATAAAGATAATTAACAGCATTCACAGCTAAGTGGTGGAAATATAAAAAGGGGGGGATGGTGTAGGGGGGGGTGAATGAGTAAAGTGAAGCAATAGACACGTGAGTGAGAAGTAAAGCGTCAATACGCGTGAAGATTGAAGCAGCGACGGCGTGAGATCGAATGAGTGAACGGCATCAGCAGCAGAACACACGACTCGAGGCGAATTCAGAGGCGACTACGCATGAGAGCGAATAGTTGTGGCGAAGAGGTGCACGGCAGGAGTTGAAGACTAAGTAGAAAGGAGGTAAAAAAAAGACTCAAAAGGCAGCAAAAGGTAGCGGACTGCCACTGCTTGAGATTGCGGAGGAGGCCTTCCCGCCAGTGGTGGCGCGCAGCGTTCAAACCAGGAAGCGGAAGTCGAGCCCCGGACTCTACCAACTCGCGCCCAACTCGCGGGGGGGTTGGAGGGGAGCTGACAGAGGACCGGGGGATGGGGGGGGGAGAGTGGTGAAGCTGTTGAGGTGTCAGTTTTGTTGTCAGATCAAAGGGTAAAAAAAACAATTATCATATTTTTTTGCTGGCAAATGAGGTTCCAATGGTGTAAATGCTTACCCCGAGCTCTCATACTCTGATGGTGCATTGTCTTTGAGTTTGTGCGCCTTTTGGTGTCATCTGGTCCAACACCATGTGAGACGAGGCTCTAAGGAAAGCTGTCTCGGGTGTGGACCAATCAACTTCAAGGACAGGGCATACATTATCAGAGTTATGTTTTTTTTGCATAACGACTGCAGGTATTGTGGTCTATGCAAACATGACTCCTTGTAAAAAAAGGTGTCAGTTTTGTTGCCAGATAAAAGGGTAAAAAACAATTATCATATTTTTTTTGCTGGCAAATGAGGTTCCAATGGTGTAAATGCTTACCCCGAGCTCTCATACTCTGATGGTGCATTGTCTTTGAGTTGTGCGCCTTTTTGGCGTCATCTGGTCCAACACCATGTGAGACTAGGCTCTAAGGAAAGCTGTCTCGGGTGTGGACCAATCAACTTCAAGGACAGGGCATACATGATCAGAGTTATGTTTTTTTGCATAACGACTGCAGGTATTGTGGTCTATGCAAACATGACTCCTTGTAAAAAAAAGTGTCAGGTTTGTTGCCAGATAAAAGGGTAAAAAAACTATTATATTTTTTCTTCTGGCAAATGAGGTTCCAATGGTGTAAATGCTTACCCCGAGCTCGCATACTCTGATGGTGCATTGTGTTTGAGTTGTGCGCCTTTTGGCGTCATCTGGTCCAACACCATGTGAGACTAGGCTCTAAGGAGAGCTGTCTCGGGTGTGGACCAATCAACTTCAAGGACAGGGCATACATTATCAGAGTTATGTTTTTTGTTTGCATTACGACTGCAGGTATTGTGGTCTATGCAAACATGAACTCCTTGTAAAAAAAGGGTCAGTTTTGTTGCCAGATAAAAGGGTAAAAAATACAATTATCATATTTTTTCTTCTGGCAAATGAGGTTCCAATGGTGCTGTTGAGGTTCGTCACTGATGAGACACTGAATCAGAATCTGAATATTTATTTAATACGGGAGGAGTCAGATGAGCTGTGAAGTTATTTGATTCGCAGACGTCCAGTAAGGGCGGGTTAGGACGTTACAACAACGAATGTGATACAACACACAATAGACTGCAGTGCATATTATAGCAAAGGTAAACGTCACTTAAAAAAAAACTCCAAATTGAAACTAAACTTACTTTTGTTTATCTTACTAGCTAAAGCCCACTGAACTTTTATCTCATTTTTCGGAAGCGACCTGACGACAAATTAGGTGTCGAGACCGATACAGAATTTATTGTTTTGAACAAATGCTTGCTGATATGCACGTCGAGAAGGCCCTGTGGCTAATGGGATTGTGCCAAAAAACATACTTTGACCTTTTTGTACGTGCAGAGGACAGATATGTGAAGGGAGGCCCATTAATTGTCTGCGTAAGTTTACCATTGTGAATACGGGGAACGCTTGCCAATTCTTTTATTGCGTCTGGCAATACTGAATGTTCAGGAGGTGAATGCCAATGTTGAGGTCTAACAGTCGCATTAGGGCTTCAGGAAAGAGAGTTCATGTAGTTTTGCTATTACTCCATTGAAGGAGCAAAGAATAGTGGTTTACTATATATGGCCCAAAGTAGCATTGCAAATAACATTTGGTAATCCAATTATGGATCAGCATTTGTTTAAAACTAAACAATTTTCTTTTTTTCCACGTAAGGCCCACTGAACAATATAGCTTATTGAGAAGCGACATGGCCACAAATAATAGCTCAGCGAAGTGGCTTATCATTTGGAAATGTATGCAACCAAATACTCTAAATACATGTTTCTCAATGTTGAGGGAAAAACCGGAGGACCCAAAGAAAAATCCACGTGACCACGGGGAGAGAGAGAGACATGCAAATTACAAATGTACAGGTGTCAAGGTCGGGTTCAAACCCACGACCTCCTTCATACCAGGCAGGGAAGTGAACATGACAAGCCAGAAAAGTACAAGTGGCTGGAGTGGTTGCTTTGTTGTCCCATTGCTGATTTTGACATCACACCACCAGTGTACTTCTTTTAGACTAACATCTACAAGCTGAACTCCACTGTGTCTCCACATAATAAACAATGTTTAGTCCATTAGCCTATGCAGTTTTGGCTTTCCAGACTCGTATTGTCCGGCAACATTTGTTGAATAAACATCACTGATGATGACATCCAGAAGGTTGAAATCAGTCTAGAGATTTGCTTGCTTAAATCCTGCTTGATATTATTGGTTGGAAAGCCAATAGGCAGCATCATTGACTAACACATGTCATTGTATGTGGAGATGCAGAACGGATTTCTGCTGTATATACAGTACTGTAAGGTACATATAATACTGCCATGGATTTTATAGAGGAGAGCGTCATTGATGCACAACATTATTTATCAGGAGGGTCCTGCTACATTACTATATTAGGCCAATTCCATTAAAGTGACATGATATAGGAAACCGGAGTACCAATAGAAATCCATATATACGAGGGATTAGCACTCAAAGCTCTGCACAGACTGATTCAATCCATTGCTGTGCTGCATATCTGTTCACCATTGCTTTTCCTAAGCTTCTGTTAGTAACATAGCCTTGATGTGTATGTAACAATGAATATAACAACCTTGGTGGTGAGTGATATCTGAACTAGTCCAGTGCGTCCCCTATGTCGACTCGGCCTTAAATGAGTACCTGGTCTGGTGTGTTAACCATCAGCACTGGGGAGACAAAGGTGATGTAGGACACACAACAGCACTTGCCCCAAGCCTGTTAAACGTTGTACGGGACACCTTTGTCTTTGTATTCCTGTGTACATGCAAATTGTTTACGTTATTCATCGAGAAGATCTGCAACTACAGTACAGTATTCACGAAAGGGTAATCTCAAGTCAGCAAAAGGACAATAGTGCAAATACATGTCGTTTTACAGTATAATATTGAATCTGAAAATAAAGGGATATTTTGATCCATCAGCCTTCGGGCTTTGCAGATAAATGTTTCCCAGTAAAATGTGGCCCAATTTCAACTCTGGATCTCACCCGCAGTGTGACGTTACACAAATACTGGGTGGACAGTTGTTACATTTCTGGATCGCCAGAAATGACGGCAGTGGATTGAACATGGTTGATGATCATTAACCTCCAAGCTATATTGCATTGTGTTGGCAGTGATTGCAATGTTTCGAACATCATACTAAACAACATGAAGTAGAACCGAAAATACGTCGGTATTCTATATAACCGCTAATACCTACATGCAATTGACATGAATATATAATCGCTGTTCAAACGCCAGGATTTAAAAACACACAAAAACGTGCATTTAATTTCCAACAACTCTCAGCCTTGTCAAGCCCACCAGCTCAAATAACTGATGTGACCATTTTCTCATTTAGACCACCAACTAAATTTGAAAAAAAATGTGGCCATCCCAATTGGGTAGCAATGAAACAAAGACACAAATGTCGACCAGTTTCGCTTTCACTAGGACTCATCAGTAAATTCATCAAAGTTCACTGCTGCCATCTGCTTCAGAGAGACAAATAATGTCCCTCCCAGCAGAATGCCTGTTCAAACTCCCCGCCACGCCAAAGATGAAGTCGAATAATCGAACTGATGATTGATGGAGTAATAACAGTGTAACAAAAATATATATATATAAATTATATATAAATTTACCTATTTTCAATTAGAAAACGTGTGCATTTGTGTCATTCCTTCACATAAAGTCCTGGTCACAAAAGCAAAGTTTGTGGGGAATAATAGTCATATTTTATACTTTTAAGGCATAAGCAATTAGAAAATAACACTAACTACCCAGGAAAAAAAATCGTGTTACATAGTGTAATCAAGTATATATTATTTTTGTTCCTGGGTAGTGCCTCAAAGTAAAGAAAATGGCTATTATTCCCCACAAACTTTGCTTTTGTGACCAGGACAGTGATATTTTGAAATTTACCTATTTTCAATTAGAAAACGTATGCATTTGTGTCATTCCTTCACATAAAGTCCTGGTCACAAAAGCAAAGTTTGTGGGGAATAATAGTCATATTTTATACTTTTAAGGCATAAGCAATTAGAAAATAACACTTACTACCCAGGAAAAAAAATCGTGTTACATAGTGTAATCAAGTATGCATTTCAACAATTTAATATTCTACCTACTTTCTGACCATTTTCTCTATTTTGCACTCCTATCGTTATTTGTATTGTTTGCTGTTGTAACTTGCTGACCCGCCCATACTGGACATCTGTGAAAAAGAGCTTCATAGCTCATCGGATTCCTCCTCCGGTCTAAATGCAGGTTCTGATAAAGATGCATCCCCCAGATTGGCACCATCATTTAATTGGAGCTTTCGTGACTACAGGAATTACTCTTTGGTTCTTTCGGTAAAGTCACGGAAACGTCGTATGCTATTATTAGATTTTTTTATTTTCTCTTTATACGTGACTTTACCGAAAGAACCAAAGAGTGGCACCATCATGCCACGCAGAGTCGAGCGGCAAACTATTCGAACCGATAATCGGTGGCTTAATCAATAACTTCTCATAATCGGAAATCGGAAACCCTTGACGCGAGTGGTACATCCCGGCTCGGCGCATGCGCAGTGTGGCAGAGAGGCTACTCGCCCGGGCTTGTCCGCAGCGAGAGAGGAGGCAGAGGAATAAGACAATAAAAGGCCAAAAATTTAAAGAACACAACAATTCGTCATAGCCGCTTCTACGGCTCGCATATCTATAACAAAAAATTTCCGAACGACGAAAATCCGCATTGCTTTCGCGCGATGACGCGCCGTCTTCTTTGATGCAGCCAGGCCGCTCGCTTCGCCGCTCGGCCTCGCCGCTCGGCTGGGGGGAGGTGTGTTTGTAGCGGCGGGCAAGTCAGGCGAGACCGTAGGCTTCCCGAGTTTCGACTAGGCCCCGCGGTAATGTATGTCTGTGTGTCTCTAGCTGTGCGTGTGTGTGCATTGTGTTTTTGTTAAATCCCCAGCTCTTTGTTACCGGACTGAAGCGTCGTTTGTCGCTTTGCTGAGTTAATGAAGCAACGCGATGGAGTAATGCAGAAAAAAACAACCATTCCAACCTTAAATATTAATGCTTCTTTGTCCTCGAAGAATGGCCCTGTTGGCATCTTGAGCTCTAAATACGTCCCCTCAAATAATCGATTCGGGGGCATCGCGTATGTTATGCAGCCTTTTGTGTCACACGAAATGTGTTCTATGTGAAGTCCGCATTTTGATTGTATTTGGTTGTGTGTCTGTGTGTGTTCGCGCCGTTTGACAGGTTCCTATGACGGCTGGCTGTTGAACAGCGTCTGGGGCCGGTGATGCGACGCAGCCGTGAGTCGTCTTTCTGAAGAGTCGGTGTGCCGAGCCTAGGAGCCCACCATTCATTCAATTAAATGTCCTTTATTTCTAGAAGGTAAGAATCTGCTGGGATTTGGTGGTGACGTGTGAGAGCTGTTGTAGCAATATAGAAATGGCAATTGAAGACCTTAAGTCGGTTTGAGACGGCAGTCTTTTTAAAGGGAGATTTGGGTAAAAATATAAATGCATAGCAATCCGTTCTAGTCGCTACAGCTAACATATAGGATTATACTTGATAGTACATATGGCAAACAGGTTTTTAGTGCAGTCAATGAAAACTCGGGAGATAACATACCACGAAACTCCAGAACAGTAAAAAGGTTTCGCGGTAAATTTCGACTGATGCACCTCTGAAAATGCTTCCTTAATTTGAGACGCGGCTATCACACCAGTACAATTACATCCTATTGTAAGTTATTTTGTTTCATCTCATCCATACTGTGGTTGGCCACCATGCTGCAGGACCAAATACTTTCGAGTCAATCCTCATACTACTCTACTTAGCAATTCCCTCCCACTATCAAGCTCTGTCATGCTTAATTCAATAAATGTATTACACCTTAAAGTGTGCTGTGTATCACTGGCTTCTTGGCATAATGGGCCTTTGGGCCTGTGCTCAGCAACCGTAACAAAATATGTCATCAGGGCTCTAACGTCTGCTTCACACAGCAGGTGGCCCATTTTGGCAACACCCTGCACAGACTTCCAGGAGGAGGCAGCTGTGATCGACTCCGTGAAAAGCTAGCTGCTGCAAGCTTGTCTCGGGCTGACGTTGAGTGTGCTGATCGCCGACGTCCACACCGAGGGTCGTCGTCATCGCCTGCACCAGTCGGACAACCAGTGACGGTGGCAGGGCTGGCAAGAGGGAGGCCAGGGAGCCCAATCTGACTGATGGAGGAGAGCAAGAGGACTCCACGGGGGAGCGCCGGGGTCGGGCGATCATCGCACGGCTCCAGGTCATCGGGCTCGGCTGGCTCGGGCGTGCTAATGGTGGGCCCCAACTTCAGGGTTGGCAAGAAGATTGGCTGTGGAAACTTTGGCGAGCTCCGGCTAGGTAAGTGTGCCTCGAGATCAAGGGTGCTCGGTTTGTTCAGATGCAGAACTGTGACGTAAAAAAAACAACAGAACGTGTTGTTGCCTTGACACTAAAAGTGTGGAGAAGTGAACGCCTTTAATTTTGTAGTGGTGTGTGATTATGTTGAGCTTTTGCTGAGTAAATGTCAACACGTGTAATTGTCTGTTTTACAGGAAAGAATCTTTACACAAATGAATATGTGGCGATAAAACTGGTACGTTGACAGAATGTTTTTTTCATGTGCTATTAAAGATATAAATTGCTTCATCACGTAATATTTAATTTCTGATGCTAACATGAAACTGCATAGTCTAATGCAATGGTACAATTATGTATATAATAGCTAATATGAAAACAAATAATTGTTCATAGAAATTGTGTGTAGTTAAAGTGAATGTTGTCTGCAGGAACCAATGAAGTCACGAGCACCACAGCTACATTTGGAATATAGATTTTACAAACAACTTGGAAATGCAGGTGAGCTTTAATTTTTGTGCATAGGCGAGACATCCATTTGCCCGAGTCAACATCCACTCAGTCATTTGGTATTATGAATATTTATTGGTTTACAGTGTTGTTATTTTGTGTTTCTTAAAGTGGCTCATGGATACTGTGAAAATTAAATAAAAAATCACATGTGTTTCAAGGGCTTAGATAAGTAATTTAGGTGTATGTAATGTCTTGTTTACATGCATGACTGTTGCACGTTTTGTGTGACATCTGTACTAATTGGATGAAAAACAACAGTGGCATACATTTGCTGACAGATGTACAGCACACACTAATCTGGATATCCAGGGTTCTGCGTGTTCAGTCACATTACAATATTTATACAGCGAAGTCAGCAAACTGTACGCAGAGTATTATTAAGGAGGGACACTGCACTAACTGCTTGCGGACTGCTTGAGTATGGTGACAGCACTGCCGTGACATTTAATGATGGCTACATTTAATATGACGTGGATAGAGGGTGTAGTTGGACTACATTTGTACAATGGTAATACATTAAAGGCCCCCCATAAGATGAAAAGGAATGTCTTTCTTACATTACAAACTTTTATGAAATATTGTCTTTGGTTGAATTGTTTAATTTTAGAATTTAAAATGAAAGGATATCTTCCAAAGGCCAAATGTCATTTTACATTAGTAGCACTAACTCTCATGTCACAGAGCATTCAAAACTTGTTCAGTGAATCTTGGGAAATATTAAATGCGAGCAATGTATTTTGAGAATTGTTCTACTCAACAGTATTACATAATCCTTGTTTCCTCAGCTGGTTAAATAATATTGTGTGCAGGATAACGAGTGTCTAACTTCCTTGTGAACATGGAATAATGTTTTTCTCCCGTTTTTAATGCAGTGCAGTATTTTGGCAAGTAGGTCAGTGACAGTGGTCTGTTCAAAAACAAGACTTTTCACTTATAGGAAAATACTATCTTGTCAGAATGTACAGTTTTTCTACTTCTGAAACATTTTTCCAATTGAACACGTCGGCTTTCACGACAAATATGCATAATAAAGTTTTTTGTTTGTTTATATCGCATAAATATAAATGTGTCGTTAAACCTGGGTGATTGTGGGTTTAACGACATTTATATTTATGCGATATAACCCAAGAAATCTTTATTATGCATAATATATTTCCAAAATGCTTTTGTGTCACCATAGTATTTAAAATCACAGCATGTTTGATAGGTTTAAAATGCACGGAATGAAGAGGAGTTTTTCCATATTATTTGGAGAAAGTTTAGACGCCTAATTATGTATATGCAGTGTTTGCTTATACAGGTTCATATGTCCGGAGAATATCCCACTACTGGAATTTTGGTCATGTGCCAATTTTACCTTTTGTAGTATGTGATTGTGAAATATGCTTTACTGGAAATGTGGTCAGAGATAAGCTCAAGATTGTTCACTGATGTGTTTATTGTTAGTTCCATCCAGCCTGTGGCTTTAACTATCGTATTATTAATGATTCTCAACTGCTAATCCTAAGGCTAAGCTTGCTCTTGCTTTTAATGTGTATGATGAAAAAAGTCACCCGAGCGCTTAATATGGCTTGAGTAGTTAATCTCGATATGTCAATATTGCTCTTGTTACGAATATAATACGAGAGGGGGTGATTTAGAAACTCAGAAGTTTATTGGTAGAAAAACAAGAAATGAACCTCTACAGTACTTTGTAAATACAACTTTTATATCCTGTTTTTTTAGCAATGAAATCAATACTGTGTTTGGGTGATGTCTGATAGTGGTCCCACACAGAGAAGCTTTGTTTTCATGTGCAGGCTAACACTTACTAGGGAAACCTGCTGTTGCTTAACTATTGGGGTATTATGCCAGATTGACCTTCTGATGGGTTTTACTGTACACACAAGTGTTCTGCTAAACTGGTTTGATTTACTACTCGCAAGTCTATATCGTATCATTTTAATGCTACGGTGTACACAATACGCATTTGTAAAATGGTCGACAGACGTGTAATATGCGTTCACCACATAAAGGATACATTCTCTTTCATCGTTAAGAAATTTTCATTGTGACTAAGTTCGTGCGTGTAACCATTTATAAGTTTTTATTCGTTTTAATGATGGTGGGTGGAGGGGGGCTATATGCCAACCAGTGGGGGTCTCCTTACACCCAGTCCTCCGTGTTTACAAATCAATGCATGCATGTCATTTCGTGGTCGTCTAATTTTATATTTGAAAGCGGAATAATTTTGGGCTGTGGGGAGGCATGCACGGTGGAGTTTTGAGGTTTATCTTTAGTATCAACTGCACGAGCAACATTGTACAGTGACATTTCCCAAAGTAGCCTTTCTGGTTTCGAGTTCGGATTAAAAAAAAATTCCATCTTGCACTTTTGCATCTCGAATGAGTCGAGTTCCCTTACAAGTAGGTTAATGTCCCGCAGTCATCTTCTTTCTCGTTCATTGTTTGTGCCGGTTCTTTTTTTATTTTGCTTGAAATTGACGTCAATTGTTAATTGTTTTACTGCGTAGTACCCAAACATACCAAGGTTTGCATATGTGCCTGGCTGTAAAACTTTGTTACACTTAACCCACCCTTTTAACAACCCTTTATATTGAAATCTGGATAATTTTTGGTGCACTGCGTTCCACATCTCCCAGTTTGTTTGCTGTATATGGATCCCACTCAACACAACTTTATCATGTCTCTGTAGATGTGTGACAATCGGTTGTCGAATCGAAGGGCTACTGGCTTGCCCATTTTGTCGGTTCTATTACCATTGTGGATTTGCACGTGTTAAATGCACCATACCGAGTGCATAGACCAGGTGTCCTGCATTACGCTTGGCCGAATCCACAAGGACAGAGCTTTTGACACTGCATGCCAGCACAGCATCGCTCCAATTTGAAAGCACATTTCTTTAATGTCTTTCATATATATCGCATTTACTTGAGGTTTTCTTGATTTTTCAATTGTGTGGCATTTTATGTAGTTTTATTTTTTGTCAAATGTGACTGATTGCCCTTTGTAGTTTCCTTAACTTAATTTTTCTCGTAATGACATTGAGTAATGATTTCAAGAGTTATTTTTGTCTTTACTTAAGTTACTGGTGAGTGAAGTGGTGGTGTTTGCTTGGCATGTGGTTTTCAGTGTCTCCAGGCCACGTTTAATTGTGGACTTAAAGGCAATTGGGTGTGCTTTGCTCAGCTAGGTCATGTTTGCTGTCTTACATTCATAATCCTTTGAAGTGATTCTTTGTTGATATTGTCGGCAAAGGTATTTACTTTCATGGTTGCTCATTTGCGTCATTGGTTGTCATGGTTTGTCTTCATCATTTGTGAATTGGGTTGATAAACTTTGGGCATGATAACGTTACATAAGCTGTACTTTTGCAGTGCTTATTTTCCATAAGCTCATGAAAGTTGTATCATTAGACCTTCTGAATGCGTAACGGTGTTTCTCAATGCAGAATGTTCATTTAATATCTGATATAATAATTACATAAGATAAATATGGATTTGAGCATTGTGTGGCTAAATCCATTAAATTCTAGCTGCATGAGATGGTGCTCTGTCCTGGCCCTCTCATAATGAGTCGGATTATATTGGCTTGCTTTATCGTCAGCATCATCTGAGATAGCGCTCGTAATGATGATGTCTTTTGTAAGGGAAATCAATTGTGTAATTAACATGTTGGCTCCATAGTTTACTGCTTGCATATCATTTATCAGTGTGTGTTTAATGGGCGTGTTCAGCAATGTTGTGTGATAATCGTGTTTGCCTGGTTATGTGAAAAAAAAGGATGTGGTAAGGTAACAAGAAACTGAATTTGTGTTTTTCTTACTTTTATATAAGAAGGAATTTTTCCAATCATTGACTGGGAATATCACAACTTGTGTTCATCAGCCAAGTCATAATTACAACATGATTGGTTATACTGAATGCATTGTTTGTTTAAGAACTCCCAAATATTTATATGAAGTGTTTAGCATTTTTTTAAAATAAATTCACATGTATTCTGCAACCGTTGACCCTGTGCCATTGTAAATAAACCAAATGTGTCCATGTATACTCTGGTTCTTCAGAGGGTGTTCCACAGGTGTACTACTTTGGGCCCTGTGGCAAGTACAATGCCATGGTGCTGGAGCTGCTGGGACCCAGCCTTGAGGATCTCTTTGACCTCTGTAATCGAACCTTCACCCTAAAAACAGTGCTCATGATCGCCATACAACTGGTGAGTTCACTACTTGTCGAACTCTCATCACAGTCACAATCAGGGTTTCAATTTTTCTTTAACCTCGTAGGTTTGCGGTGTATTTTTATCACCAACACTGTACTGTTAATTTGCATTAAGTTCCGCTTGTTTAATCTTAAATCATTCACCTATGCCCTCAACTGCCAGTTGTATTCCCTAGGAATATTAATTTGTTATCTTTTTGGAATTAGTATGGACTTTTATGTGCTGCCTCACTTGGAAGTGGCCCATTCTCCTGGGCTTTTGTCGATTTAATTTGAGTAGACCACCTGAGTGTAAAGTCAGCTGCAGTTCTGCATTACGAATGTAATATGGCTGCTCGTATCACATTAGAGTATCTGAATTGTGTGGTTGTTCAGCAGTTGTTGGGTAGATATAAGCGAACGTTTTCCATCCCTATAATGGCAGTGGTGTAGTTCTTTAGGAAAAAAATACTTTACTTGCAGCCGTGAAACACTTGCGCAAACAGGATGTGACATAATTGCACACATTTGTTTTTTTGTCGTTGCACATTGCATATCTTTTGGAAGTACATGGACGTTCTGTGCAAACTTGAATGCAAGCCGTGGTCACCAGTATCGTTTGCATCGTTTATGGCTTGAATGTTTCTGTATGGGCAAGTTGAGTAAATGTTAACAAATGAGGCTAAATTAATTACTGTCATGCACTCTTAATCTGTTTTTGAAATAATAATCATAGGATGCGCTAGAGAAATATGACATGAGTCTACACCTAAACATGTGCCTTACATAATGGGCTTGAGTTGTAACAATTACTTTGTACAATCTTTAGATAAACTAGCAATCCGCACGTCATTTGGATGGACGTGTCCATCCATGGCTCCCAACCAGCAAAATGTTTAATCGTATATCGAGTCATGCCTCTCTACCCTTTTCTTACCTTCTCAGTGTTATATATCCCATTTTATCTCGATTTCTCACTTTTTCTTGTTTCTATTTGTTTCTCTATTCCTCTGTCCTCTCTTCTATCTCTTTCTTCATCTGTTCCTCTCCTCCCTCCACTCTATCTCACCCACTTCCCTCCCCCCATCTCTCCTTGTTTTTTCCACCTCTCACCCTCTCCCTGTTCCCACCTCTCCCTTTCCCATCTCAAATCTCTTGCCTCTCTCTAATCCTCCCTCCCACTGCTTGTGTTTTGTGTTCGCTCTCCTCTGTCCGTTTTGCTCTCTTTTCTCTCCTATTCATGCCCTTTCACTCTCTTCCCACTCTTCTTCCTAACTTCTATCTCCCTCCATCATCACTTCCCACCTCGATCTCTCTCCTCTATGCATTTGCACGGGATATGCAGGGGAAGGGGTGGCGTGACATCAGCTTGCACAAACCTGGCACAAACCTGTGGGATGCGGGTGATGTCATCACACAGATGTGCATGGTGATGTCACCACTGCACACGTGCACTTGGGTGCCAGGCAGACAGGAATCCAGCCAGCAAACTGATTTTCTTATATACTGTAGTTTAGCCTATCCTGCACATTTGTGCTAGATGCAGGCCGGTCTGGTGGGTGGGGGAGAGGCGTCGTGACATCAGCACACACAAATAGGGCTCACTGCTGTGGGATGTGGGTGGACATCATCACACAAATCTGGGTGGTGATTTCACCACACCATATTCACCTGGTCTCGTGCCAACTAAGAATCTATGCAGTAATAATTGTTTCTAATATAGTATGATTTCATACTGATTTAATCATAACAAGTGTAAAGTGTATTTTTTCTTTGGGCATGCACACATGTTCGAGTCAATGCTAACTTAGTATTTAGCAAAGTCTGTCCTCTGCCTCATTGATTGACATATTCAGGAAAAGCTTCTATGGTTAAATATTTATCAGAATTCTCTTCCACTGCAGGAGTGGTGAGCGCTAAACCCCCAAGGAAATTCTTACCTAAACAACAATTGGAATGTCTGAGAGACATAATCTGAGTCAGTATGTGCTATGTAAAATGAGATTTAAACATTTTTTTGTTTAACAGAGACCGAGAAGCTTTCTTTGTTAATTAATATTTATGTTTGTGGAAATGTCTTGCTTTTACTGTGTTTATGAACGTTTTATTTTTTGCTCAATCATTTGTTATAAATTATGTATGTGTGTTTTTTTTCATTTTACTTATTCATGAGCACAATTGAAGTGCCAATTATAAAATTCAGCTTAATTCTGAAGAACTATTTTTGGATCTAAATGTGATTTGTTAAAAATGCTTTGTCTTTGGGTTAAATTATTTGTGTTCAGTCATGGTCGTCACTTCTGTGAGACATAACCTTTTCACTTTGCAGAAAATTTCTATCATATTTAACGGTGGATTTTTCTTGCAAAAAAGTGCATGTTTCAAATAGTTGCTGCTTGCAGTGCGATTATTGTCTTCTGCATCATAATGAACGTGACTTGTTTCATCTGTGGGTTGCCTGAAGCTCGTAGTAGTGGAAATGACGAATGAATATAAAATATCATATACCGTTATGCCTAGCCTTTGTAGCCTATGAAAAGGCATTTGTGTAAAAAAAAAGTCTCACAAGCCAAGGCCTCGATACAAACGTTAATAATGAATGATAAAAAAACGTTTTAATGTAACTGACATTGTGTACTGAAGTAACAATGTATATTATAAAGTGAATCGGACAGCAAACATTATTTTACCAAAGTAATCCAATTGGCATTAGAAGATGATTTCTGAAAATTGGATTCGAGAAGTAAAGGGCTAAACATAAGTGCAGGAATTAATAACCATTTCAGATTTTTTGTTTTGATTCATAAGAACCAACTAAAAATTAGAGAAAAGCTTAATAAAGAAGGCTCAAGATAAATAATGATAAGTTGTGCTCAAGATTAATATGAGCAAAACAAAAGCCATGTGGTGCAAATTCACTAAGACAACTGAAGATACCTAGGGCAGTGATTAAAAGAGGACTGGGATCAAACTGAAATAAAGTAGCGGACAACAGCAGCTTGCTCATTCAAAAGGGAACTTTGACAATGAAAAGCAACATGCCACTGTGAAAAAAGACAGTTTATAACTGTGTAACAATTTTTTTTTTTTTTCCTGGGTAGTGAGTGTTATTTCGTAATTGCTTATGCCTAAAAAGTATAGAAAATGGCTATGATTCCCCACAAACATTGCCTTTGTGACCAGGACAGTGATATTTAGAAATTTACCTATTTTCAATGAGAAAACAGGCACATTTGTGTCTTGTCGTTCACATAAAGTCATTAAAAAATAACATATGAATAAAAAATATAAAATTAACATACTAACGTAATAGAAAAATGACTACAAAAGATTTAGACACCAAGGTGCACTACCACAGGCGGGACTGGCCACAGCGGACCGAGTTCTCTGTGGGGAGGAACAACGTCAAGTGGGAGCCACTGGTGGACCCCCGGAAGGTGCTGATGCCACCACTGCACATCAAATTGGGCCTTATGAAACAATTTGTCAGAGCTGTAGAAAAGTAGTGGGCAGCCTTCAAGTACCTTCAAGACTTCTTCCCTAAGCTGTCTGAGGCAAAGGTCAAAGCCGGTGTCTTCGTCGGACCACAGATAAAGAAGATCCTGGAGTGCAATGAATTCCCAATTAGGCTCACTAGCAAGGAGAAAGCGGCTTGTAACAGCTTTGTCGCAGTGGTTCGTGGCTTCCTGGGCAATCACGAGGTCAAACTACGTGGAGCTGATTGAAACTCTGGTGAAGAACTACAGCACAATGGGCTGTAGGATGTCCCTCAAAGTCCATATCTTTGATGCTCATCTTGATAAATTCAAGGAGAGCATTGGAACGTACTCTGAGGAACAAGGCGAGTGCTTCCTCCAGGATATACTGGACTTTGAACGTCGCTACCAAGGACAGTATAACGAGAACATAATGGGAGACTACATTTGGGGGCTGATTCGTGAATGTGATTCACAGTATAATCGTAAATCTCGAAAAACTACTCACTTCTTAAATTTTTTGTAGTAATTTTTTTATTATTTTGGTATAAATTACATGTATATTTTAATTCATGTTGCTTTTTTCTGCCTTTATGAACGAAAAGACACATTCACCCATTTTCTCATTGAAAATAGGATAATTTCAAAATATCACTGTCCTGTTCACAAAAGCAAAGTTTGTGGGGATAAATAATAATACTTTTTAGGCATAAGCAAGAACGAAATAACACTACACAGGAACAAAAATTGTGTTACATAGTGTAATCGGTACATATCTGCTGTGGCAAAGACAAGAAACATGGTCATTCACAAATACAAATGCAACCAAAAAGCGGGGAGAGAGATTCATGCTCGGACTTGCACTGACAGAAAGATGAACGCATGAATCAGGTAGACGTAATGTTAATTATTAAAAATTTAGTGGGCTTCCGCAGGGCACGTCATGGCGAGAAGGGATGATGTTAGGTGCTCGAGACTAACGATGGAGTAACACCCAAAGTGAGACACTCTTGAGACGATGTTCACCCCAGAGATTTAGTGATGATATCAGTTCCTGCACAGGTGCTAGATGCAAAGTTTCATTTCAAGACGCTGAGATATGGTGAAATTTTGGGGGGGGGCGGGGGGGGGCTTCTTCCAGCACTCTCGTAGATCATGGCTGATGTTGATTTATCCGTTCTGTGCTGTGTGACAGCTGACAAGAATGGAGTACGTGCACTCCCGGAACCTAATCTATCGAGATGTGAAGCCGGAGAATTTTTTGATTGGGCGCCAGAGCACGAATAAGCAACACATCATCCACATTATTGACTTTGGCTTGGCCAAGGAGTATATTGACCCTGAGACCAAGAAACACATCCCATACCGTGAACACAAGAGCCTAACCGGTACCGCCCGGTACATGAGCATCAACACACATTTGGGCAAAGGTAGGTTATTATTAACGTGTGGATATATCTACTGTAAAATATGTAAGGCTAATGGTATTCATCAGTAATTTTTAAACAATTCCATCAATCATCGCTTGCTTAAAATTGTGATTGTGTTAACATTTGCAAACTTTATTTGAAGCTTTCGTGACTGCAGGAATCCATACTCTTTGGTTCTTTCGGTAAAGACGCGTAGGTATAAAATAAAATACGTGACTTTACCGAAAGAAACAAAGAGTAAATATTTGAAAATATTTACACATAGCTATCAACATTGATTCATACAATATTGTCTTGCATTGCCACATTTCACGTGAATTAAATTATGCATTCAAACGAAATGTACCCGAATGTATGTATTTACCTTAGATATTAAAGCTAGTAATACAGTAATGTAAAACAAAACAATGATGCACTTGTGCTCGTGACAGAGCAAAGCCGAAGAGATGACCTCGAAGCACTTGGTCACATGTTCATGTACTTTCTGCGAGGAAGTTTGCCATGGCAGGGTCTCAAGGTATGTATTTGGGCTGCTTTCTGTTGCTCGGCCAAAAGGCAATGAATGATACAACGACCGAGCGCGTTAATTATAAAAAAATGTATTTGCTATCCACGTCACTAGTGTTTCATGAGAATAGGTTTTCTTCTTTTTTCTGGCAACAAAACAGGTGTTAAGATGTTTAAACACCAAACTGAAACCTTTTACAAGGAATCATGTCTGCATTAACCACAATGCTTGTGGTCAGAATGCAAACAAAAAACACTAATATATGCATTGTCTTTGAAACTGATTGGTCCACACCAGAGACAGCTTTCTTTTGAGCCAAGTCTCAAACGGTGTTAGACCAGAGGATGCCAAAAGGCGCCAAAACATACTCTGATAATACTCTGCTCATTGTTTTTTTAGGTAAAGTCAACGTATGTAGAAATAAAATAAAATTAAAATAAATAAAATGTAATTAAAATAAGTCACGACGTTACGAACGCAACACAAGCGATCATCATCAGGTGGAAATGGCGCCAAAAGGCGTCCTCTGGTCGAACACCATTTGAGACTCAGCTCAAAAGAAAGCTGTCTCTGATGTTGACAAATTAGTTTCAAAGACAATGCATATATTATCAGTGTTTTTGTTTGCATTCTGACCACAGGCATTGTGGTTAATGCAGACATAATTCCTTGTAAAAGGTTTCAGTTTGGTGTTTTAACATCTTAACAGCTGTTTTGTTGCCAGAAAAAAGGGGAAAATATATTCTCATATTTTGGTACTGGCAAAGGAGATCTCTTGATGTTGTGTTTCATGCTTTGGGCTTTGCCGTCACCCGATGCGTTTGGGCAATTACGTTTTTGCTGTGCCATGTGCTGCGATGTCGTTTCTGCATAGTGTTCTCAGGATCCAGTGCATATTTTACACAAGCCCAGTACCACATGGTGGGACTTAATATTAACTGCAAACATGTGTCAAAAGGAACCAATAGAGTGCGCACAAGTAGAAAAAATGAATTTGTTGGGAAATGTATTTGATAAACATTGGTGAAATATACACTGCCACCTCAAAAGTAAACTAAAGGGCTCTATAGGAGGAATAGTTGCGTGTGTGCTGCTATTGTTAATTGTACATGATCTCTATTTGTGCCAGAAGAATGTGTGTCATCTTTCCATTTCAATTGTATCTCTTTGGTCCACTGTGCCTGTTTGGACACGTGGTTGTTACTGTTGCTTGATTTTTGTCCATGAGCGTGCTCGAAAGTATTGCTTTCCCTTGATGCCTCTTTCCCCCCCCCCCCCCCTTGTCTGTGGTTTTGTTCAAAGGCTGATACCCTGAAGGAAAGGTATCAAAAAATAGGCGACACAAAGAGAGCCACTCCCATTGAGGTTTTATGCGAAAACTTCCCAGGTATGCAAAATGTGGAAAATGGTGTCATATGCAAATGTGTATATATTACATCATGAAATGTGGCTTTAAAGAATACATGTATAAATAATGTAAAGTAAAATAAAAAAAGGTTTTGTGGTGGTCTTCGCAAATTAATCATTTATCTGTTTTCACTTTATGTATCGAACTTTGTTATTTCAGAGGAAATGGCAACATATTTGCGCTATGTGAGAAGACTGGACTTCTTTGAAAGACCGGATTATGAATACATGAGGAATCTGTTCATGGACCTGTTTGAACGCAAAGGCTACTCATTTGACTACGAGTTTGACTGGACGGGAAGGCAGATAGTGAGTATAACTCAGGATATATTTTTTAAACTGCCGTATTTAATTTTTCACTTGCTGTCAATTGAACATCTTTATCAACTTGGTGAACAACAAAATAATGGGCTTTACCCTTGTTGAGATTAAAACAGGTCTAAAGATGTTCAAACACCAAATAAATACATATTGCAAGGAATCAAATCTGCATTAACCACACACATACTAGTGGCAAAACATGCAAACAAACATGCGCTGATAATACGCTCATCATTTTGATACTGGCAAAAAGGTCCCATAGATATCTTTATCAACTAATACCGTTCTTGTTTTTCGCAGCCCACGCCTATTGGATCTGTGCATTCTGAAACAGCCCTTCTGCCGGTCAGCAGGGAGCCACACAGAGACCGGACTCTGCAGCTAGCCAGACACCAGGTACAGTAGGGCAAACCACTGCATTGTAATTCCTTGCTATAACGAACAAGGTTTTCTCTACAATATCCACGCCTCGGTAACTCTTCAGCTAAGTATTTAGCATGGAATTTGCGTGTGGTTTGTTGTAGAGTAACGTATTGAAATGCCATCTCCTGTTTGCAATGTAAATTTGAGTTTGACCTAAAAAAAAAAGCTGCTTTTAAATCATCTTATTTTATTTATACAATCAAACCCCTTGCACAACTAAATTTAACCACTGCTTTATAACCACTGCTTATCTGTACTAACGACCCCTTACTAATGGGCCTTCTGCCCTGAACCCTGCCGCTAAAGCCGTCAGACCGCAGGGGGGCATGGGAAGTGCAGCCCCACAGGCAATCGAGCACCTTCCACGTGGTTGCACCGCCAGGAGGTGACAGATTTCCCGGCATGGCTCAGGTACCTGCTTCCTCACCCAACCCCCCTCCTCCCTCTCTCCCAGCTTTGTCATCCATGCAACTGCAGGCCCGCAGCTCCCCTGTCCCAGCGTGTGCCAAACTAATCGGTGAAGCAAGCACCACGTGGCATTATTATCCAAGTCTTATATCGGTTATAAACAAAAACAAAACAAATCTTAAGACATTTGTTTTTGGAGATGTTACTTGTTGAGGCATAGCGATTTATATTTTTACTGAATATTGATGTTTCTTTATACAAATTGCGATCTTGTAGTTACCCAATTCCGGTACATGCAAATTAATTGGCAGTTTTTTTGTTCTGTACTTCACTTGACTATTATTTGAATGTTACTTGATGACGCAAATTTTAACTTTTACGAACTCACATTTCCACTGGTGAGACCTTTATTTTGTTTATGCTTACGCTCAATCCAAAAGTGCTTTCATTGAGATTCTTTTCCCTGCGTAATATGTGATTTCATGGCAATTTGACACTTAAATAAATATCGAGGGATGGTAAATATTTTAGGTTATTTAAATCGCCAATTAGTTGTAAGAACATCTATTGCCATTTTGTTCGAGGGGAAAAGTGTCTTTTGGAAACCTTTTTTGGATTAATGGTCAGCATAGCTTGTTAATTTGTTTCGTCTTCCAAAAATATTTGGTGCCGTCATCTGTATCACCTAAATGTCAGTTGTATGAGTATTAGGTGGCTCAATTGGTTGATGAGCTAGAACTGTTTTATGACAGTCTAAAAACTGGTGAATTAGTACAGAAGCTGTGGTTTAAAATTGGTGAAGTAGTGCCGATTTGTTTTGTGAATTCGCCTTTATGAAATGCATTGTTTCTTAGTTCAAACTCACCTTGAAGATTGAGTGTTTGTCGAACTCCTCAAATTAACAGTGTTTTGTGTAAATATGTTCTGCTGAATGTGCATTATACCTGCAGGTGGTGGGCTCAACCAATGGGGAACTGAATCCAGATGACCCGACAGCAGGACACTCAAATGCACCAATTACTGCTCCTGCAGAGGTGGAAGTTATGGAAGAGACGAAGTACGTCCGAGTGAAAAACGAAATACCTTTCCAGATTATGAACTTTTTTCCAGTTGACAGTTTCTACCGGAAGTTTGAAGTTTTGCATACAGAACAGTCTTTATTACAGTCGTACATTCTAAGTTTGAAATAGTGCGGTATGAGCACTTAAAAAACTTAAGTTTAGCAATCATTCTTGCCGAAAACGTGCCTTTCTCACCTTTCGTTACTGTTTGTAGGCATATTTTTACAATTTCCATTGCTTACGTGCACAATTTTGTTGCTCTTCCACGTGAAGCGATGTTTCTTACTCACTTGCTGTGCTGTTGGTTCAATTCTAACTGACCTTTGTTTTCCTTTCTCTTGTGTTTACTCTCCTGCTGTCATCCGTAGCTGCCAGAAATTGTTCAACATGTGAGTGGTTCCAGACCTGCTGCAACACATGCAGACAGTAACTGCTGAATGCGTGCCTGTTTTTGTTTCTAAAATAAACGTCGGCCATCTCGTGCAGTTTCCAACAAATGGGTTTGTGTTGGCCATGGGCTCAGTAGGTCATAATTTACTTTAAAAAGCTTCATTGGGAACTTAATAATGCAGACTCCAAAACTTGAATTTGCCTTGTGGGAATTCTAGGGGAAAAATCACTTTAAAAAGCTCTACATGGCCCATGAACATGGATTTACATAAGTCCGTACTACCATTTGGCATCATTTACAGAATTTGGCAACGACTGATAATGTAGGGCAGTTATTCTGCAGTGCACCTTTTTAAATAGACGGGACAAGTTAAGAAACAAAAACAGCTGCTGTTTGTGACTTAGAATCTTCTGAGCAATGTTTTGTATGAGTATTAAAATAGGTAATTTTACTAGTATGTTTACTCCTCGAATGCACTTTAACCTCTTGAATTCATATCCAAATAGATTAGGCAGTCACATTTTTAAGATCTGATACATTTATGAAGTGTGTGTGCAGAAGTTGAAATGTCCACTGTAATCTGTAATCCTCGTGGATGGCGAGTAGCATCGATTTGGTTACCAGAGAATAGTGGATATAAAATTGTAGTTAAATAAGCAAAGGCTGAAACAATACAACAGTATGCTGTGTGTTTAAATAAATATGTTCACTCTACATTCACTTTATGAGAGTAATTGCAGAAAAATGTTGCCAATCTGGTATTTTTTTCAAAAGTGGCAATACTTATCCCTTATTGTTTAGGCATTGCTACGGGACAAAACAAATTGCTTTTCATCTTTTCAAGAAAGACCTTAAGCTGTGTCTAAAAAACCTCTAGGGTACTTCCAGACAAGGTAGAAAGCTGACATTTGGTACATAGGTAGCTTTTAGGACATAAACAATAGGAACAATTTGAAAATCATAGATTTTTTTCATTTTAGGCCCCCAAATCTTTGTGTGTCATTCAGAAATCATTCAAAATATAAGAAAGTGTTTTTTTTCGTTTGATAGCACTTTAAACAGCAAATATAATCAAAGTGAGAACCATTGTTCTATTTTTTAAAAAAATTTTGAGATATTTCGGATTCAAACGGTTTTGAATAAAAAAATTGTCATTTTATGTTCGAATCTGAATGATTCGAAAAAGGTAAAAGACAGGAGCTTCCCCTCCTAGTGTATTAAGTTAAATAATTTTTGTTCTTTCTAATAAAAAAATAACTGAACCTTTAAATTTAACGATTTCCGATGGCTACATCTTTAAATATAAGAAGTTGAATAAAGTTTTTGTGCAAAAATACAAATTTTTGGAGTAGTTGGTGTCTGACAGTAGATACATAAAAAAACATTTTCAATCAGATTAATTATTATATTTATTCAAAACTTTTGCCTGGTGATGTCAGGTTTTATGAACTAGTACTCCATACATTTTCTACAGCTCCGTCTTCAAAGTTATGAAATGACAGGTCTGGAAGTAAAATATAACTCCATAAGCAGTTTTCTTGAGGCTCTTGAAGTCGAATGAACACTTCATGTAGACTTTAGCCAAAATCCTTGGTTCACATTTTTTTATCCCCTGTATCTTTGAACCATAATAAGTATAACCAGTAAAAACAAAGTTTTTCACTATAAATCCTTTATATGCTTGGCGGCTAGAGTCCTCTCGTCCTCTGGCTTGAGATGGCTGCCACCTATGTGTCAGATGATTGCATTGCAACATTAAGCAATTGGTAATTAAATATAATATTTTTGTCCTAAGAAGTGTAAAATTTTGGAAAAAAATGTTTCACAAACATTAATTGTCTCGCACAACGAATCTGTGTGAAAAATGTCAGCTCGATTGGATCACGGGAAGTGGGTTAAAAAACGACCGAAAGATTTGCACGGTCCTAAGCAAGCAAGCGAACTTAATATAAAGGATTTTAAAATAGTATGAGTTAATGGTTGGTGTTTGTCTTCAGGTGCTGTTGCTTCTTCAAAAGGCGGAAGAGGAAGCCCACCCAGCGACACAAATGACTCGGGGAGACCATCAACTACCAGCAACTGCTTGGACTTCAGTTAGATCCAGCACCAGATTGAAGGAGCCTTTGCCTTGCCTTCCAAGCTCCTGACACCTGGTTTTTAATATTGCCTTCAATGTTGGCTAAAGCGAGAGTCGAGGCTTTGTGGGCAAAAGGCTGCGCATACTCTTGCGTTACTTCTTAAAAGAAGAATGGTCTACGATAAGTATGTGCTAGGCCAACTGAAAGTGGAGCAGTTCTGCTGGAGTTGATGCCAAAATGTTCTTTTCATAAAATTTGACAGGAGCAAGAACTTTTTTCTCGCATAGCTGTCGGTTGTTTTCTCAGATGAACAAGTTTCATTCAGCTGGAGGAAAGTGCATAATGTGACCCACGAGGATTTGTGACAGTACCAGAGGACGACATGTCTGTTTCTGGTTATGTCAATAATTGACCCCCTCATCTTTCTTATCAAACTACGCCATGGCTAAGATGTGTGACGGTGTGCGGAGTGCACCCTAACCAATTAAAATGGGGATACCCATTGTCTTAGTTGCTTAAAGCTTATTAGTTGCCGGTTTTTTTTGTAAGATAATTTCTGTACAGTATTTAACAGTTTAAAGCCAGGTATGGAGTAGAGTATCTTGTATCTGAATGTGGATTGTTTCCCTGCTAACATTGAGTCAACGATTTCGTGTAAAGGTACAAATGGACATAAAATGCATAGTGTGGCCCTATTTGCACTACTGAATGCACCCTTATCAACCAATGACGTTTGCAGTCCTTTTGTATAGATGCTTGCTACCAACAATATAAAAATCTTAACATGACAGAAAGGTGACTTAAAGCATTCATGACTGCAGGAATTCATATTCTTTGGGTCTTTCAGTAGTTATGTAAATTAATCAAATAAGAAACTACGACGTTTCGATCACAACACAAGCGATCGTTATCAAGAGGAAAAAAGATCTCTTGTATTGAAACGTTGTAGTTTTTTGTTTATTTGTATGCAATGTGACTTTCCCGAAAGACCCAAAGAATGACAGATGTTTGTGTCCAACAGTGGCATCATTGGCACCATAGAAATAGGGCTAGGCTTATTCACATGAGTGCATATTGCAATACCCCAAAAATGGGTCAATTTGAGTGTATGACACAGCGTGTGCAGCACATTGGCAGGCATGTCTGGCCATATAAAGCACGAGTTGGAAAGGTGGTCTAGCAGGAACCAATTATGTTGGCCTGGTCAGGTGGTGTAATGGGTCGGGTACGTGACTTTTGGCCTGTTTCCCACCTAAATTTAATTAACCCATTAAGGCACATTCACACAATTTTGATCATATTTGGTTTTATTGAACATTCAAGCACGACATATTGGCAAAAAAGCAACAATAACTCATTTAAAAAAAACTGCCTGTTTTGAGAAAATGTCAAGTCCTTGCCTGCACAATACAATGCTTGAATGACCTTGTTTGCAGCCCTCCTGGCTTCTGTACATTATTGCTGAGTAGCAAGATTGTAATCGTATCAATAACACCCACCTTTACTTTGAAATGCACATTTAAATATCATTGTCTCCCAGCTCATCTTAGCAATTGATCCAAGATAGCCAGAATTGTTGATGTGTTTACCAAAGGTAAAGCAAGATAGTCTCAAGACCACCACATCACTGTCCACAACATAAAGGCCACCTTTGTATTGAAATGTCTTGAATTACACCGAGAAAAAAAAGATTTAAGTTGTGGGTCATGTTTTACTGCAAAATGACCCATTTTATTTACTTGCCTTGGTATAACAAAAGTGGCCTATATGTATACTCAGCATGCAGGCAGTTAGTAAGCTGCATTCAATTTTAAATATCCTTTGGTATCCCTTATTTTGCATGTAAAATGTTGTAAATTTAGTCATCTTGCATTTAAGGTCTCACATTTCATTTCACCAGTGTACATAGGTGAATGTTGTAGATCTAAATGTCTAAATGGACATTTAGCATATTCTGTATCATAATTGGCCCAATTTCAAAGTTAACATCTAAGCCTCAATACGATTTGGGGGTGGGGTGTAAGTATATGACAATTAAAACTTTCCATGTAATTGGCAACTTATATTTAAAAAAAAATTCAAATATAAAATACAAAAGTGCCTCCTATGGAAGTTATAAAATAGAAAGTTGTAAGTTTTGTACCAGCTTTGAATGTAATATAAGCCAAAATGTCCCATTCAACTGAGGCTTCAAAACTAGCCAATCCCAGTTTTGAGCTTATTAGACATTCTTTCCATCTGTGGTCTTACTTGATTCCTTTTTTGTAAAATGCATAACATTAATAAACCAAGTTTATAGCCCATTGTTTTGTAAAACCATATTTTTTTGGTTGTACAGTACAAATGTTTTGTTTCAATTTGACCAAATCGTGCTTGTTTGCAGTACATTGATTTTTCCAAAAACGAGTGGGACTGCAGATGTGTGGGAATGGCCTTTACACAAGCTGAATTACCATGACCAATGCAGTAGTATTTAGCTATTTGTGATCAGCTTCACAACACGGGAGAAGTTGACATGTCATAAAAAAGTACATACGGACTCAACCAGTATCAGAGCTAGTGATACATGAATGTGTTGGCACTTAAGGATGTGGCATTCTACAGACAATTTCAGGTAGTATTTGAAATGCATTGGTAAGTTTAACACTGGTGTTCCTGCACTGGATCCACCATTTGGCCTTTCTTATTTCGATCTGTCAATGTTGTACTGCAGTTAATTTTTGGGATGCTTAAAGCTTTACCGTTATGGCCATGTTTAGTTAAATATTTGCACTTGGTAGAAAAATAGAGCAAAGCCATGTTATTTGTTAACTGGTGTAAACACATTTGATACTTTGGAATTGCTTAAATTCAGTTTCTAGCTGTAGGAAAGCTTAAACTTCAAGCCTGGTTTAACGTATTTTTTTGCTTCAGAATGTATTGCATACCATCCCATGGGCACAAGTGTCACATTCTTTCACCAACAAATTCCATTGCAACTGCATTTAAAGAATGCATCTTTGCTGTAGGAACCAGTCTGGCAATCAGCAATGTGTTTATCTACTGATTCTGCTTTTGTTTCCATTAAGTACAATTTAAAGTGTAAAGGTCAGCTTGGCAGTAGCCAGATGTCAGTTTAGGACTGTTTGAAAATGCAAATAAAAGCTGAGCAATCCATTCTTAATTGTTTGTGTTCAGTTAAATGGCAAATTCACCAAGCATCCAGAAGCAGAAAGAATACGTTTTTGTAAAATGTACTTTATTGGTCTTCCATCAGTTAAAGGTGAACAAACTGAATTGCATATTGTAAAAGTGTGGTTATTTACAAATACCACTATATATATACACACACATTAATTAAAAAAAATATTGTCATTAATCATCAGAATCTTCAAGTGAGCAGTCTCCCTTGCTGCTGGAAGGCCCAGCTTCTGAATACCTAGGGTAGAGAAACAGCATTAGTTAATTAACATTGTTTTTGAAAGTACATTTGACCAAAAAAATTACAAAATGAATATTCAAGAAAATTCACCTGCTCGCCTTACTGGAACCTGCTCCACTCTTTCCAGAGATGGACCCATCGGGAACACGATTCTCTTTGTTACTGGCTTTGGTTGGAGACGCAAAGAATTCGCCAATTCCCTTCTGCCACGTTGGTGTAGGTCTCGGGCACACGGAGTTTCCACCACCATATTTATTTCCTACAAAAAAAACTAAAATGTAGTTTGGACACTGCACATCAACCACATACATTTTCGGAATTCCAGGGGTAAAATACATCAATCATTAAAAAAAAACATCCTCCAGCATGCTTCCGGGTAGCTGGCTTACCCGGTGATCCGTTGCTTGACCCAGGAGAGGTTGGGGGTGCTGTGAAGTTTTTCCGTGGCGCTCTTGCTGCAATCACTAACAGAATACTCACAGGGATCAGGAGAATGGTAAGGACACCTCAAGACGAACCATTCCACATTTCCAGGACGTGCATGCATTTCTAAATTAATTTCCTTTTTTATTGAAATGTATTGTCTCGATATATCAGAATGGAGTAGTGCTCACCTGTTCAGTTCTGAGCCCGCGATGGGAATAAAACATCGTGTGGGTGTCATTCACAAGACAACCCTAACTTCTCAGTGGCGACTCAATTAATTGTCCCTAACTTACTATGGATGCCTCGGCATTACCTTAAACATTAAATTTAAGACGTGCTGCAATTCTTCTTTCCTAAAATACTGGATAGGGTTTGGACATGTTCCTTTATATTCACCGCAATTGAAACATTTAATCGGTTTTACACAAGTCGGTGGGTTATATGGCGTACCTAATCTTCAACCTGATCTGAAAACGAAAAATTCGTTCTCGTGGGCTCTGTAATCTTGCTTTTTTTAAATACAAAGTCTTGAAAATCCACCAAATTTATCAACCCTTGAACAGTTTTAGTTTATACCCCCCCTTCTTCAGAGCAGACTTTAATGTAATATCAATTAAGAGGGCATTCATAAGTCGTTGGGTTTATTAATAACGACACGGGGCCACAGGACAGAAAATGGCGCCAAGGCATCTACGACCACTTCCAAATTAGTGAATTAAAAAAAGTATTTTGTAATCATTAAGTTTAACGAATTTTTTAAATATATACACATTTTTTTCCCGCCAAACATATGCATACTGACAATCATACTGTAAATGTTAATTCAGCTTGCGGGCAACTTTCTATTGAAGTGACGTGGATCCAGATACAAAAATTCACGGTTATCTTGAATTGCAATCTTTCCGTTCGTATATGTCGTAACGTGTTAGAAGCAAATCGTGCGTATTTATATATTTAGAATATCGTACTTATACCATTTAAACTGCAGAGATAGCACGCACTACTTTGGCAGCCCCCTTCCTATAAAACAACGAAGATTCGTGAATCTCTCCATTATAAACAATACTGAAAGCAATCAACTACGTATGTTACATATAACGAGCAACGCAAACTATACGAGCAATGCATTTTTCGCGCTTCCAAATTTCCACCTTATTTGAATGTCACGACTTTTGTTTTTATATATACGACTGCCCAACAAGTACCAAATATAAAATATATACTTATAAATCCATCACTTTTTTTTATTGACAGCTCAGAAATAAAGTTGCCAAGTTGCATGCAAAAACGTTGTACGACTTCAAACACATTCTGCTATACGTTTGTGTCAAATAGATTGAATAAATAATCGGGAAACTTCCTCCCATCACAGCCACATTTAAAGCAACTGCGTTTTGCGTTTACCTTTTCTGAAACCCCCGTCCGCTTTGGTTCGCACCATTTTTGAAGACTAAAACAATCGTGTCTCGTGAAATGTTCCGATTTTTATTTGCTTCTTGCTGAGAGAGGTTTGCGGCGGCGAGGAGACGACTCCGACGGGTGCACGAACTCGCCGCTCTTATTTCAAGCGGCAAATTTGGCGCGCTGGCACGACACGTTGGTGTCGTCAGAGGTCACGCAGAGCACTTCCGGCGACTTTTTTTTAAATAAGCCCCAAAAAAATATTTTTGTTATTAAACTTACTGTGCATAGTATCTATAAGGCTATTATGAGTCATTAGCGGAAAATAAATGTATTTAAACAAAAAATCTACGCTCAAATGTAACTACCTCTTCCGGTGTTCCAGGAGAAACCTTCCAGAAGACTTCTTCCAGAAGTGGTAGATGCGCGTCAGTCGGGTCATCCTCCAGAAGACGTCTTCCGGAAGAGGTAGATGTGCGGGGTTCAATTTTCAATCTTCCAGAAGATATCCTCCAGTGATGCAGCTTTTGTGGTGGTATTTTACTGGTAGGAACCTCCTGGTTACACCAGCCCACAGGAGATTATTGTGTCCGTCCGTCCGTCGTGATAAATGGGAGGGGTGGGGCTGGGTGGAGAGGGGAGGGTGCGGTGGGGAGGGAGGGGCTGGGTAGGGAGGGTGGGGCTGGGTGGGGAGGGGCTGGGTGGAGAGGGGAGGGTGGAGAGGGGAGGGAGGGGCTGGGTGGGGAGGGAGGGGAGGGGTGGGGTGGGGCTGGGTGGGGAGGGTGGGGAGGGGCTGGGTGGGGAGGGGCTGGGTGGGGGTGGGAGGGGTGGGGCTGGGTGGGGAGGGGCTGGTCACGCCGTGGTGCCCTTATAAAACTCAACATTGAACCTACTCACGCCGGCTTGTGCCCGCCCTCACAGTCGGGCATATTTGCGGAATACACCACGCCGTCGTTGACCCTGGCCATTGACCGAGCAACCCAACGTTCCTCCCAGCTCCCTCCGCAGGAATGTGTTCGCCACCTCTTCATAGTCAAATTCCACGACCAGACACAGCGTGGGGAGGAAGCCTTCACGTGGGATGAAAATTTACGTTCAATTATTTCAACACTTGTTCAGAAGAATCCTTCAAACATTTTAAAACGTTTACTTATTTTCGTGTATGCACAATGTCCACCACTCTTCGTGTGCAATTGGTGCAACCGATTTAAATTTGGCCTTCCGAGCAAGGATTATGTTGCCCAATGCGGTACTGCATACCAAAGACAATAAATGCCCTCTTTGCCCAAACAGTGATGTTCGTCCGTATGGCTAAAACCCACAGGACAACGCACTGCGTGTTAAACATTTAAACAATTTTCATCCCTGTCAATAATGCACAGCTGCATGTCAATGATTCCGTCCCCATGCCATGTCAGAGGGTGGCGCTTGACAATACTTCACCCACAATGTACCAACGCTGCTGAATGTCTGTTGAAGGGGAGGGTTGAGCAAGACCCCTGATTTACTTTTGATGTTTTAAAGACGAAATATCACACCACGTGTAATTTCAGCCTTCCATATCTACTCTTTTTTTTTACTCAATTTGTCTCAATAAAGATACATTAATGTCCCAGGCCCGTTTGTTGGTTTACAAGTGTTGTACTGCTGCCCCCTTGTGTCAAACTCCACAAATTATGCAATCACCGAGCTTTTAAAAACGTCTCCTTTACGAGGCGAATGATTGTTTTTTGCAAATGATAAAAGTATACATTTTACATGTACACATTGTATGGGTCGTGCGAGTAATTTGACCATATTTCATCACACTGGTCAATGTGGATTGGCAAAAGCGGACAGCATAGACGTACCGTAATTGTCCTGCACCACGTAATAGTATTCATTAATTTAGGTAAAACAATAGTCAGAAATCGCATGAACTCCATAATAAAGGCATTATTTGGGGAAGAAAAATCATAAGTACGTGGAAACATCTTCTAGTTTTGAGGATTTAAAATAAGGTGTATTTATCGCGTACATTTGAATTCACAAATGTTTTTTTGAATACACATTTTTTGTTAGCAAAAGCAAAACGCTATTTGGAAAGCCATTGTTATTAACTCAGAATCAGGGGTGAAATATACATTGGAGGTAGCAGTTGGACCCAAAAACTACTGGCCTCTATTCCAGCACATCATATGGATAATGTCGACATAAACTCCTCAAAACAATTATTTAGTTGACATGACAAAAATGTGTAATTGTGGGTAAAATATTCGAAATTGTGCCACTTTACAGGGGATTTTTTTTATGGTAGGCACATCTCGCCAATTTAACACGTAGGTTTTTGGGTTTAGATCGCGTTATTTATAAATGTGTCGTAACCCTCCACCACCCGACACGGCCAATCAGTAAAAAAGTGTCACGTTGACAAAAGACAAATAGTTCACTGCTTTAGCCCACCGGTGTGTTGAATTGTAAATGTTGTGGCTTCAACACACCGGTGGGCTAAAGCAGTGAACTATTTGTCTTTTGTCAACGTGACACTTTTTTACTGATTGGCCGTGTCGGGTGGTGGAGGGTTACGACACATTTATAAATAACGCGATCTAAACATCTCGCCAAACTGTGACATTCATACGTTTGCTTACCGGTTGCTGTAGAACAGTTAATTCAGATCCTCGAAAAACAGCTGTTCGTAAGGGTGAGCACCCTTGTGTAAGTTACCTTGCCAGCCAATCACATAGGCCTCGGCAAGGTAAGGTAAAAGTTAAACGGTAAAAAAAACAAGAGAAACTTTACCCTACCTTTTACCTTACCACAATACAATCGCGCTACCCTACCTTTTACCCTTTAGCAGGTAAGGTAAAAGGTAAAAAAAGAACGAGCCTACCTTTACCTTACCTTTTACCCTTATCTCATACAAATTTCGCGATTACAGGGTAATTACTGGGGTAAAAAACATGGAATTTTTTTTAACGATAAATGCTAGTTAGAGCGCTTTATTCATTTTTCGATTTAAAGCTTTCGTGACTGCAGGGATTCATCTTCTTGGTTCTTTCGGTAAAGTCACGTAGAATGGAAATAATAAAATAATAATAATAAAACATAATAAAATAATTCTCACGACGTTTCGGCCACAACGCAAGCAGCCATCCTTAGATGAAGACCAGGTCTGTCGGGGAGACAGCGTCTGAATGAAACAGCACCATGCTTGGAGCGTATATGTAATCTGGGTTAGAAGGGGGGGAAAGGGCACCTTGACAAAATAATTTGCATATCAAGAGGAATTTAGCATATTTATGGGAAATGCAGGTATGTGATTAGTACTACTTATGCCCGTGCATTATGCAGGATTAGCGGCATCAAAGGGAGGGGATATGGGAAATGCAGGTATGTGATTAGTACTACTTATGCCCGTGCATTATGCAGGATTAGCAGCATCAAAGGGAGGGGATATGGGAAATGCAGGTATGTGATTAGTACTACTTATGCCCGTGCATTATGCAGGATTAGCAGCATCAAAGGGAGGGGATATGGGAAATGCAGGTATGTGATTAGTACTACTTATGCCCGTGCATTATGCAGGATTAGCAGCATCAAAGGGAGGGGATATGGGAAATGCAGGTATGTGATTAGTACTACATATTCCCGTGCATTATGCAGGATTAGCAGCATCAAAGGGAGGGGATATGGGAAATGCAGGTATGTGATTAGTACTACTTATGCCCGTGCATTATGCAGGATTAGCAGCATCAAAGGGAGGGGATATGGGAAATGCAGGTATGTGATTAGTACTACTTATGCCCGTGCATTATGCAGGATTAACAGCATCAAAAGGAGGGGATAGGGGTAGCATTAATAAAGGGAAGGAGTGTTAATAGTATGTAGCTGCAGTAACTAAAACCACCACGTAAACAACTGAAGTATAAACTACATAGTATCATCAGTATACTAAATATACTCTACAATAAGCTGAGTTACTAACAGTAAGTAATACATTACAATTCGACGTCGTAAAAATATAACATGCTTCCATCTAAACTTTATTCTCTTACATCACACGAGTCTACACCGTTAGACAAACCCAACATTAAATTATATACTGTATTGCTATAAACCATCTTATACATTGTAATATTACACTATGTATTATTCTACCCACCCTAATGTATATCACACTGCTGTATATGGTACAGTGTATAATAACAGATAGTATAAAATTCATGTGCTTAATACAATGTACAAAATAATAATACATAGTATCGTAATTGTATAGTGAAGGATGTAGTGTGGAGTTTGTCGTGTGCCAGGATGTACAGTGGAGTTTGTTTGGTGCCAGGATGTAGAGTGGAGTTTGTTTGGTGCCAGGATGTAGAGTGGAGTTTGTCTGGTGCCAGGATTTAGTGTGGGGTTTGTCTGGTGCCAGGATGTAGAGTGGAGTTTGTCTGGTGCCAGGATGTAGAATTGAGTTTGTCTGGTGCCAGGATGTAGAGTGGAGTTTGTCTGGTGCCAGGATGTAGAGTGGAGTTTGTCTGGTGCCAGGATGTAGAATGGAGTTTGTCTGGTGCCAGGATGTAGAGTGGAGTTTGTCTGGTGCCAGGATGTAGAGTGGAGTTTGTCTGGTGCCAGGATGTAGAGTGGAGTTTGTCTGGTGCCAGGATGTAGAGTGGAGTTTGTCTGGTGCCAGGATGTAGAGTGGAGTTTGTCTGGTGCCAGGATGTAGAGTGGAGTTTGTCTGGTGCCAGGATGTAGAGTGGAGTTTGTCTGGTGCCAGGATGTAGAGTGGAGTTTGTCTGGTGCCAGGATGTAGAGTGGAGTTTGTCTGGTGCCAGGATGTAGAGTGGAGTTTGTCTGTTGCCAGGATGTAGAGTGGAGTTTGTCTGGTGCCAGGATGTAGAGTGGAGTTGTCTGTTGCCAGGATGTAGAGTGGAGTTTGTCTGGTGCCAGGATGTAGAGTGGAGTTTGTCTGGTGCCAGGATGTAGAGTGGAGTTTGTCTGGTGCCAGGATGTAGAGTGGAGTTTGTCTGGTGCCAGGATGTAGAGTGGAGTTTGTCTGGTGCCAGGATGTAGAGTGGAGTTTGTCTGGTGCCAGGATGTAGAGTGGAGTTTGTCTGGTGCCAGGATGTAGAGTGGAGTTTGTCTGGTGCCAGGATGTAGAGTGGAGTTTGTCTGTTGCCAGGATGTAGAGTGGAGTTTGTCTGGT